CCCCCCCCCTCTCCTCACCCATCCCCTCAGGAAGGTTGCAGCTGTGATTTCACCCAGAAGTCACATGACACAAGGCAGGTGGGAGAAAAAACCTATGCCCGAACAGCTTCCCACACACACACACACACACACACACACACACACACACACACACACACACACACACACACAAGTTCAAGGGTGTGGTCATTTTGCATTTCTGAAATGTGTAACTTTGCCCGTCTGATCTCTCCCCTTCACAAACCTCACAAACTCCAGCTCCTGCCTGCTGCAGACATGTCTGTTTGTCACAAAGCTCATCTAAAAAAAAGATATTCAACAAGAAAATACAGAACAAATAAGGAGGCAGAATTTTGCACTGAAAATTTGTGAGAAGAAAATGACATTGACAATAAATCTAATTAAAATAGTTCATATTTTCCCTTTAAAATGGCTCCAGAATAATATTTGTGATAAAGCTTTTAATAGTTACACCTAAAAAGAACTTAAACATTTTGGGGGGGTTAATTGCTCCAGTTTTAACAAACTGAAAAGCAAAAATATTATTAATAACTATGACTGAAAGGTCATCTTAAGTTTCAGAAATGATTAGATAAAAAGCGCAAGAAACACTATTTTGGAATAAAGTTTTTTTTTTAGTCTTAGGAACGAAAGTTTGCAGGATCAGTTGCAGCGGATGTATTTCACAGACGGACTGAGCGGGATGGATGTCCGAGCTGATAACTATTCTAGTTTATCGTTGTTTTCTAGTATTTATGTTAAAAGGTTCACAGTTTCACCAACCAGATAATGTTTTATTGATAGTTGGAGCTCCATTTTGATGCTTAATAAAAGGACCTTAACCGCCACGAACTGACACGTTCTGGGTAACTATGACACGTTTTTATTTTAGGTCCAAACTTTAACTTCTCCGGGTTTGCAGATCATAATAGTACGGAAAAAGGATTAAAGCCACTGGAAATTTTTTTTAAAAGAATTCAGACTTTAATCTCAGAATTTTAGAATTGAAAATTCTCAGAATGACTTTAATCTCAGAATTCTAGTGGTAATCCAGCTGTGTTGTTAAAGGAGGCGCAACTGTTGGTTCCGGTTTCGGTTCGGATCATGCTGCTGACGACCTGCCGCCTGTCTAAAGTGCTGCAGCTCACCCTGGCGGTCATCAAACCAGACGCTGTGGCTCATCCTTTAATACTGCAGGTTTGTCACGTTAAAGCAGGGATAGATTCCTGCATGTTTTATTGGTTTCTCTGCTCCAACACACCTGATCTGAATGAACTGGTGATTAACAGGCTTTTGTAGAACCTGAAGAGGTAATTCAGTCACTTCAAGCAGCATAGTGGTCATTGGTGAGCAGGATTGGACACCTCTGTTAAAGGAAGCATCAGGACTTACTTTTTGAGCTAAGTATAGTTTTTTGTTTTTTTTTCAGGAACTTCACAAAGCAATTCTGGACAACAAGTTTATGATTGTCAGATGCAAAGACCTGGTGTGGAGAAGATCTGACTCTGAGAGGTTTTATGCTGAACATTCAGGTGTGAACGCAACTCTTTGATTAAAATGTACCAAAGTTTATTTGAGGATTCTGCGTGTCATCAAAAAGATACAGACAACAGCTTATTTTAGCAGCTATAACATAATGTGCTGCGCAATTATGCACAGCATGTAGGAAGGGCAGGCCAGAAAAGACAATTATACTCTGTGTTTGCTCTTTGTAAAAGTAAAAAAAAATAAAATAAAAAATCTCTGGAACAAAAAAAAGGGAAGATGTGTTTGATAATTTAATTTTATTTTGCAGGTCGATTCTTCTATCAAAGACTTGTTGAATTCATGTCAAGGTAAACCTCCTGAATAAAACTGAGGTTTTCTTAGAATTAAAAAAATATAGATGCAGTTCTCAAAATACAGAGAAGAAAATAGAATCTCATTCAAACAACAATAATAGTTGTATTTACTGGATTTTTTTTGTCATTTTTAAATCTGCAGGAAATCTTTAAAAATGTAATTAAAGGGGGATTTTCTCAGTTACAGAATCCTCATATATATATATATATATATATATATATATATATAATGGAATGTAATGGAATGTAATGTTGTGGAACTGTTTCTCGGTGCCCGCTGTAATTAGGACAAAATCCCTGCAGCGACTGTTTAAAAATCAGGTTGTAGCTCGCCAACGATCGCTCTCCCAGCAGTGAGCGACTGCTGGCTCGTCATCTTTCTCCAGTCGCAGCGGAGAAACAGTAGTTGCCATGGTAACCAGCCTTTTCCCCATGTGCCTGGACACCGTCAAGAGGAACGTGCTAAACATCCTCAGGAAAACCTGTTGTTCTTTCTTTTCTTTTTGTTTTATTTTGGTAAAAAGCATCTTTTCAGTGTTTTTTTTGTCACAGTTTATTATTATTATTATTATTATTATTCCCCCCCAGCGGCCCTATGCGAGCGTATATTTTAGCCAGAGAGGACGCGATACATCACTGGAGGGAACAGATGGGTCCAACCAAAGTGTTTCGAGCCAGATACACGTCGCCCGCCTCCCTCAGGGGGCAGTTTGGCCTCACGGACACAAGAAACACAACTCATGGCTCAGGTAAGTTCCTGACTTTACATTTAATTTAGCATCACTTCAAAGATGAGTGCTCTTACATTTAGCTTGCTCCTCAGTCCATCTTTCTAATTTAACTATCGGCCTCTGCTCTGGGAGCGCAGCGGATCATTTTCAGCAGCACACGTGTATGGCAGGCCTTTTTTACATTTAATCAGCTTCACCACACTTACATTCTGGGTATCTGAAACTGATTTTGACTAGACATTAGTTATTTTAGTTATTGAAGTCTCTCTTGTTTCAATTCTTTATTCATTTGAATAAAACAAAACAAATAATTTTATGTACAATATACAATAAAAAGAAAAATGTAAAAAGAAAAATGAGAGGAAAAAATGTATATGTATATTAAAATCACAAATAAATGAAATGAAAGGCAGCAGAGAGAAGAAAAAATCTTATATCTGCCCCCCTTTTTTTTCCCAAGAATAAGTTCATAAAACAAAAAATCTATGCTATTAACAAAAGAAAAGACAAGAACATCTAATCCCTCTAGAACAACAATTTATATAGATACACATTATACTGTTTCATATTTCTTTAACAATCCAACTTTTATCATTTTCTTAAATGTACACAATGATCCTGCATTTTTTACATCACTCCCCAAATTATTCCATAGTTTTATTCCTTGAATTAAAGCACACCGTTCCTTCAAACTAGTTCTGAATTTGGGTTTTACAAATATTTTTGTCCCTTTTTAAGTTTATAAAAACTCTTTCTCTTAACAAAATATACTTGGATGTTTGAAGGTAATGTGTTTTTGTGGGCCTTATACATAACCAGTAGAATATTATAATGAACCAAATCAAAGAACTTCAATATTTTCAATTTACAAAATAATGGATTTGATGGGTGACGACTATGTTTTCCAGTAATAATTCTCACAGCTCTTTTCTGTAATAAAAAACAGGTTTTGTAATTGTCCTACACGCTTTACCCCAGATTTCAATACAATAAACCAGGTGTGGACCTATTATTGCATAATACAACATATACAGTGCTTTATCATTAAATAACTGTCTTACTTTGTACAGAACAGCAATATTTAGCCATCTTTGTTCTTAAATAATTTATGTGAGGTCTCCATACTCCATAATGTGAAGTGAGAGATATATAAGATTCAAATAATGCAAATGAAATTTCAGACTTTTTCACGTTATTTTTATGTTTAAAAAGCTGAACTTATTGTTCATGCTTGTATTATATATGAATATGTTTTACTTTTTCCTGCTGCGTAGAAATCTGTAATTTGTGATGTCGATGGACCTAGAAAAATAAAGTTGTATTTCATGTGTGTGGGTCCAAACATTTAAAGCCTTTTTTAAAAATGCTTTTCATTTGTTTCCCATCAGCAGCATAATTTATTTTCAGCTGGTTTAGTGCAAACTGTTAGTTAGCTTTTGAGTTATTCTGTGATGGTGTTTTTTTCAGATTCTCCTGAGTCAGCTCGCAGAGAAATCAGTTTCTTCTTCCCCGATTTCCACGTGGAGGAGTGGCTGGAGAGGGAGGAGCCGCTGTTCCGATCAGGACAGATCCGCTACGACCCCCAAAAACACATCCACACACTTTTATCACCAAGCTGACCCCAGAACAGCTCATCCCCTGTTCTGCAACCTGAGGTCATGGAGATGAGGACGACGAGTTCAGTAGTGAGTGCCTGTTGTTTCAGGCCTTCCTTGAGCACGGTGCATGGAATAATTTCAAACAGAAACCGTAAATAATTTAATTTATTTACAAAACACATATGCTGATCAGATTAATCAACACAGTTCAGTTACAGCCTTGTCACACACACCTGCTCAGGTGTCGCCACATTCAGATTGTAGAACAGTTAGAACATGTATCGATGTCAGACAGCGAGACGAACAAGTTGAATATTCAGCTACGATGAATAAAACAAAAACAACTTCACACGTGCTCAGAAGCATCTTAAAAGCATTTTCATATTTGGAACACCCTGTCTGCTGCAAAGATGTTTTTTTATTTTTATCCTAACAGAGAAATGTTAAATCTTCTGTTTTCAATTTTAACGAATGTTTTAAATGTGAATCTTCTATTTTATAATGCTTGAATACAATAAAATACGTAAAACCTTCCAGTTAAACACAACCTTTGTTTATAGTTTAAACAGTGGTGGGCACAGCCAACCAGAAAGTTAGCTTCACTAACCACTAACCTGCTAAACAAGAATCTTGGCTCAGCTAATGTTAAAACAGATCAAAAATAGTGGAAGCTAATGCTAACCGCTAAGTGGACTGTCACTCATCTCCTTCCTGTTGAAGACTGATTCAAACCTGTTGTTAGTTTTCTATTGGTTTAATTTGAAGGCAGCTGGAATCGCGTGGCAGAGATCAGCCAATCCAAACCAGAATTATAGCTCTGTCTAACTTGTGACACTTCCAGTCTACTCCTTTCATAATAAAAGCATTTTTCATTGATCAAGTTTTTATTTTTATAAATATCTCTTAAAGTCAGTTGAATAACAAAAACCAAATACTTTCTGTACCATACATTTACAAAGTCCGTTTTTGGTTACATTTTCTTAAATGTTATTTTATTCCTTCGTTTAACTGCTAAAGATGCTACATGCTACACAATCGGTGCCTGACACGTCCAGCACTGCTTGTAAAAGGGAACACGTTTTTATTTAATTGGGGATAAATGGTGTAAAAATAGAAGTTTAATTTTTGCAGTGGACTTAATATTAGCGGAACCTAATTTAGCGGAAGCTAATCGTGTGCTAACAGTTAGCACAAAAAAAAAACGTATCCGCTAAATAAGAAGCCAATTCTGCTATTAGCATATTAGTGAAACTGTGCCCACCACTATGTAAACACATTGTGAATCCACCAGAGCACAAAGATTTCTCCACCGAAGCACATTCAGTTGACTCATTTCTCGCTGGACTTCTTCCAGTCGCTCAAGTGTTTTGTGTGGCCACCTGTTTCAAAGTCTCCACAGGTTTCATGACCTCGTAGGTTGTGAGCGACTTCTTGACTTTGCCGTTTTTGTCCACCTGATGGATGCTTTGCGTTACGGTAATGGTCACCTGCTTGGTGGACATCCTGTTGTCCTGCCATTTCGTCTGGGAATGGAAAAAGCATCGAAACGCTCACGTTCTGGCAGAATTCATTCAGGGTGACGTGAGAAAGCGAGCACCGTCAGACGGGCTAAGTTTCAAACTGTGAGAAACGACTTACTATTTCTTCAGTGTGCAGGACACTTCTTCGCTGCACCGTGGTGCCTGTCGAAGGCGGTGAGGCATCCTGCTGCGGCGAGGTCAGGGTGGACGGCTGGCTGCAGGGCTTCACGTCATTCAGACTGGCTTCAGACACGGCCGAACAGACCTTCAGATACGCCTGAGCGGGTGGAGGGAGGCCATCTTCGAAGAAATCTGGAACTTTTAACGGAGTGGAAACAAACTTTTAGACTTCTTAAAGGGATCCATGATTAGTTGTAACATTAGACTTTATTTAACAAACTTGAATTTTAACCGGACAGGGCCATTTCATCATTTACACAGCATTCTGGGTAAAGACGTGGATAGGTCCTCGGAGCTAGGCTGCTAGCGAGCTATATCCACCCTGAAGGTTAATCTTGGACAATATCTGATGATCGACTCTTAAATGAAACCAGAGAGCGTTGACAGAGAGGAGAAGGTAGAAATGACTCAGCCTGTAACTGAAAATGTGGATGGAGGACAACAGAGCTGCTTCATGGAAGAAGAACCTCAGCTTAGCCTGTTAGCATTAGCCCAGACACTATCACCATATAGTATACAGTATGTATTAGCTCAGCGCTACACATTCTCCTCTCGTCACTGAGGTCCTCCATCCACATGACAGAGAGGGGAACACAAAAATGACTCAGCCTGCAACTGAAAATATGGATGGAGGACCTCAGTTTAGCTTGTTTGTCGTGTTAGCGCCAAGCTAATTCATACAAGGCAATATAGCGTCAGCRCTAGCGCAAAGGCTAACAGGCTAATCTGAGGTTCTTCTTCCATGAAGCAGCTCTGTTGTCCTCCATCCATATTTTCAGTTCCAGGCTGAGTCATTTCTACCTTCTCCTCTCTGTCAACGCTCTCTGGTTTCATTTAAACGAGTCGATCATCAGATATTGTCCAAGATTAACCTTCAGGGTGGATATAGCTCGCTCACACCGAGGACCTGTCCACGTCGTCATTTACCCAGAATGCTTTGCATGTAAATAAAATGGCCCCGTCTGTGTTAAAATATATTTTTAAAAATTTACAAAACTAAACAGCCTACAGTATTTTTACAGTTTTTATTTTACAGCTAAAATAAATGTTTAGTTGTAACATTAGACTTTATTTGATAATCAGGGATCCCTTTAAGTCTATAAAATGCAAACGAGCAGAAGTTTTAAAATTAGTAACAGATTTCAGAGCTCCATGAGAAACTGCATCGAAAGCATTCAAGCCCCGTGAGGATGTGTGAATGGTTTTGACAACGCTATATTTAGAGAAGCTGCAATAATCCTATTTTAACTCGAAAGATCCAATGACTCCGCAAAACCAAAATTTACTTTGGTCTTTAATTTCTTTACCATGCAAAAGAGAATTCCAAAAAATATTTCCACTCATTTCAATGACAAAAGGAATAAAGTTAAATATTTGCAAAAGTCCTGCTGATTCAGCATTTCCACTATTACAATAGAACACACACATAGAGGCTTTTATGAATAATAAAATGTGTGTAAAATGACACCTCTTTCATTACTAACTCATGCAAACATAGGCTTTAGTAAGACAGCATCTGTTTGACCGCTGCTCATTAGTTTGCTAAATTGTGGGTATGTTTCATGTCTTTAATCAAGAAGCTGATCTCAGTTTGTCTTCATGGCTACATCAAGGCTCCACAACACTCATCCAGCAGCTGCTTCAGTTGCCATGAGAGCAAAGTCCGGTGTGAGCACCGTGGCTTTTGAAGCAGCCTAATTTCCCCTTTTACTGATTCATCTGAAGAAGCGTGGCTTCAAAGAAAACACACTTCAGAAAAAAATAGACTTAATTAACAAAACAACAGTATGGAGATCATTTAGCGGCAGAGATTTTCCTAATGTCTCATGTTTTTATGCGACACTCAGTCCTTGGCTGTGGAGGGAAGGTTGAAAGATGTTTTTTTTTCATCTTTTATTTCACTGTTTTCTTTTCTCATAATGGTTTCTTGTTAAAATCAGCTGCATTAAACCACTGAAATAGCAAGAAAATGAATGTTAATCCCTGTTCTTGTGAGGAGGAAAAAAAAAAAACGTCACTCGCCTCCGACATTCAACCGTTTATCTTACCAGGGCTGATTGTTTTCTCAGAAGCGAAGCCGGCCTCAGAGTTGTCAGAGGGGATGCTTTGGATGGATGACAGGGGGATGTCTGTGTCCGTGCTCGTCAGCCACGTGGACTCGGTCTCTTTGGTCCAGCTCTCCAGGTAACGAGGCTCCAGAGCGTCAGTCCTGCTCCCCCCGCAGCCCATAGCTCTGCCTCTGCAGGACACCGTCACTTCCCCGGATTAACTCCTCTTCTATAGAACAAAGAAAGATGAAAAAAGCACTGGGCCTCTATTTCAGTCAAATAGATAAGTTCAAGGAGTTCAAGTATCTGGGCATCTTGTTCATGAGTGATGGTAAGATGGAGGGTCACATACTGAGTAACGAGGGTGTTGTTTTGGTCAGACATGGTGAAGAAAGAGCTGAGAAAGATAAAACCCTTGATTTACTGTTCTATGTGCCAACCCTCACCTATGGTCATGAGGCATGGATCACGACAGAAAGAATGAGATTCAAAATGAGCTTCCTTTGTGGGGTGGCCGGGCTCAGCCACAGGCCTCTTCTTTATGTGCATGCTTTTAAGTGGTTCTCATCAATCCATTGTTGTGTTGCATATTTTTTCAGGGTCTTCTTCTTCTACTGTGTTTAATGGCGACAGATAGCTTAATGGAGCATAAACGCCATCAGCTGGTAAGGTGTGTGGTGTCAGTTTTCAAAATCTGGGACCACAAAACTTACAATGAAGCCACCCAGTAGAGCTGTTCATGAAGTGTAATGAAAAACAGAGTTCAGCCAAGTTGCACTGTGCAGTAGAAACAGGGTGAAGAACTCAGAGTTGTTCCTCTGCATCTGAAGGAGTCAGTTGAGATAGTTCAGGCATTTGATTAGGATGCCACCTGGACATCTCCATTTACTGAAAAGATCCAGAACATGGAATTGTGTATCTTCTCTGGCCTGGGAATTCCTCAGAATCCTACAGGGTTAGGATGTTAGGTTTCCCTCCTGGACCTGTTGCCTCCATGACCCAACTACTAATAAGTAATAGAAGATGAACATGGAAGTCTATTTTAGATGGTATAACTATGCGTAGAGTTACTCAAAAAGTACAATGCAAATAACAGAAAGGTTTAGAATAAAACACTAGTCAAGGTTAACAATACAGTTTCAGGTTTAAATCTAACATTTCACCAAAGGGCATTAACACAAGTGTATATTACAGTTTACCACACAGCTGTAGAAAGTAAGAGCCTCCATGAGCCTGGTTTCCAGTAATTTTGTGACTGTGTTAACTCTGGTATGTTTCTCCAGGGGTGTTTAAAGACCACATCTTCGGATGATCACACAGGCCAGGGAGACAGGAGTCAGTCATTCATCGTCTTGTAGACATCTGGGATGAAAAGAGGGACAGATAGGTTATGAAGTTATCTCTGGTTGCTCTTAGAGACAGTTCAGATAGCCATCTGTTTTGTGCCACTCTCCTGGGATATTTTGTACTTCTTGTTTCCAGCCACATTGTTCCAAATAGATGCCTTTTGTCTTTAATCTAAAGATCTGCTCTCACGGGTGTCATTAGGCTTATAGGCCTGTAGCTCTTGGTGTTTTCTGAATAGCCTCCAATCACATCTAATCAAGTTATGAAGCCCTGGAAGTAGTTGCTCAAACCCAAATGGATTATGTTGTTTTTTATGTATTTTACACAAGCTGAATATGTTTTATAATATTTTGCACTGATGATTGTCTATTATGCATTAATGTGTTTTACCTACTGCAACAGAGTGTAAGAAAATACGTGTTCAATACGACTAAAGTCAAGATGAAAACACAATTGTTAAATAAAATGATTTGTAAAAGGAATAAAGTCATTCAACACCAGAATTCTGGACCTGAGTGAGGTTTATTTGCCACCGGGCTGACAAGGAAACCACACTGACTCAAAGTCAGGAAGTACGTGTTTTTATACACGATCCTTCGATGCCTGAGTTCGCCCCCTACTGACCTACGGCTGAATCACAGGCAGTCATACAAAAAACCTCAACTTAATGTTATTAAAACGGTTCACTTATGTGTTGTTTATGATTCGGACATGTAGCTACTCTATATCAATTAACACATAATAGATCAAACTTTATAAAATATTATAAAAAGGAAACCCTAATACTCTAGTGTTGTTTATAACATCAGTACTAATCTATAACAACTATAAATTTCTTCAAGAGTATGGTCTAAAATGCAGCATGTTTATATCCTCACCAGTACACAGATGTAGGTAGCAGGGTATAAAGTGTTTATCCTGAGAACAAACTGCAAGGGCTGCGTAGCAGCTTTTATTTTCTGAGTCAAAGAGGTGTAGGTGAGGTTGTAGGAGTTTCTGTCCGAAATATATATTTTTGGTTGTTTCTAAAAATATCCTGGCAAATACAGCACTGTTTCTAGAAATGCATATACGTGTAATCCATGAAAAACAAACAAACAAACAAATAAACAAACAAAAAAAACCCGACCCAAAATAGTAGTAACGATACCAGGCCTGTATGTGGCGCTGTAACTGCAACAAAAATACATCAAAACCAGGAAACAAGATGAAGCGTGTGCTTAAAACTGGGTGCAAAATGTAAACACAAGACGAAGAGCATGTTGGAGCATAGGTTAGTTAGAAGTGGAGTTATAATATCATTTTCCAAAAGATGGGTTTTGGCTAATAAGATGCTATTAGTCTAGCACTATTTTCATAAAATACTGTTTTGGTTTTAATAAACATGTAAGTGTGGTTGAAAAGCTGAAATGATAAAACAGTTACTGTGTGAAAGGTCTTGTTTTTAGAGCAGATGCTGGAGAAAATATCTTTGTCAGACTTTCTTAAATTTAAAGGCACATCACACATTCAGACTAGTCTCATTAGATGAATAATATTAAACAAAGAAAACAAAGCAACACATGCCTGAAAACAAGTGATGAGGCACGGTTTTACAACAAACTATGGATCATAAAACAAATGTTTTTTTCATATTTGGTTTTTGTTAAATCAGAAAAACTAAATTTAAAACAAACAAGCAAAAATAAATATAATGTTAAAAAATAACAGCATCTATTTCTTCTTATTGTAGCTGTTCACTATGAAAACGACAAAACTCCAATTGTACTATTTTTGGACACGGTATAAAAGCTGGTCATGGACAAATACAACCTTTTTATCTCTATAACATTATTAAAGAACTTGGAAAATTCATATGGTAATAAATAATTTCTTGGCTGGGCTGTGCCCCCCAGCATTAGAAAACCTTAATAACGCACCTGCTCGGTTCGATGGAGGAAACTAAAGCAACGAGGCTGTTTTCAGACAGGCCTCCTCTGGGTCGTTTGTACCTCGGATTACCTTGATGACTTCTCCTTCACCCAGTCATTACCATAATGAGTAAATCAGCTTTTCTTTTTTTTTTTTGCGGAAGCAGCTGTAAACATGCAGTGAAATGCTCTAATCTTAGTCTGTCACACAACACGCAGTCACAGCATCAAATAAATCAAAACAGCAGAAAATGATTTTAAGGCAAGTGGGAAATGGGAGATAACAGATTCTTACTGATGGCGGAAAAGTCCGTGCAGCTGCTGCTTCCAGCGTGTCTTCTGCCACTCAAATTCTGAATGAAAACACACACACAATCACACGCACACACACAAACCCTGCCCCGACACGACTGCTTCACCCGTACGAGACTCCTCCAGCCTCCTCTGTAAGCCCATGGATCAATCCTAAACCAATAAATGGTAAATTCCCCATCCTGTTGCTTGAAGAAACGTGGGCATCTGCTGCTGCTGGGCTTATGCACAGAGACTGCATCAGCTGTTGCTAGGTAACTTAACATATAAATAGTTATTTTTTTTCTGAATGTTAGTTCTTGCAACAAGCAAAATACACTAGTGGTTGGTGCAGAAGTTGCGTGTAAGTTTTCATCCTACTCACATGTTGTGTAAACTAGAAGAGAGTGCACACAGCTGAGACCTATAGGTCACATGTCAAACTGAAGGCCTGCGAGCCAAATTTGGGCTTTTTATTTGGCCTGCGAGAGCTTCAAAGACATTTTAATGTCTGATAAGCAGCACTGACGATAAACGGCATCTCCCATGATGCCTTATTTTACCATCAAAATGACGGTATCTCACCACTAGGTGAAGGTGCTGCAGGGTTCAAAAGTAGCCGGGGCTACTTTTACTGAGCTGAGGCTGACACTGTTATGATTTCTGTCTGTGTTTAGTGTTTTTATGTTTTGTTTCTGTCATGTTCATGTTTCCT